AAGGCCCGAGTACCCCAGAGGATTCAAGAGACGTGAGTTCGAGGGACAAACCTGTCTAAAATGCACCTTGAAGAGCCCCCTAAAGGATGGTCTGAGTGATAAGGTAGAAAAAAGGTGAGATGAAAGGAGAGAGAAGGGAGAAGAGAGAGGATGATCACTAACCGATCTGGCAACCTCCCGACATTATCTCCTCTAGGAGATATTACTAGGGTCTACCCAAAAGGTCCAAGCCGGAAGGCCTAGGCACCTCAGAAGAAATCAAAGGACAAGAGCCTACGGGGCAAGTCCGTAATGATTGTGTTCTGAAGAGCCTCCTTGGGAAGTGATCAAGGGAAATGAGAGAGTGAGAGGATGATCACCAACCGTTCCGGCAGCCTCCCAGCACTACCTCCCGTAGGATATTATCGGAGTCTACCAAAAAGGTCCAAGCCAAAAGGGCTGGGCACCTTAGAGGAAATCAAAGGACACGAGCCTAAGGGCCAAGCCCATCACGACTGTGCCTTGAAGAGCCTCCTTGGAAGTGATCAAGGGAGAGAAAAGAGAGGAAAAAATCAAGGGAGAAAAGGGTGTGACTGTGTGTGAGGGGTGAGTATAGAGAAGTGAAAGAGAGAGAAATAGGGAGAGAGAGAGAAAAGAGGAGTCGCCTAGCGCTTCTCTCTAGGGGGAGACAGAGAGAGGGTGAAAGAAAAAAGAGAGGCAAAAGGGGGGTGGCCTAGAAGCCTCTCTCGGGGGGAGAGAGGGAGAGAGAAGAAGGGCAGCCCAGCTGCCTCTCTCCAAGGGAGAGAGAGGGAGAGAAGAGGGAGAAAAAAGAAAGAGAGGCAGCCCAGCCGCCTCTCTCCAAGGGAGAGAGAGGGAGAGAAGAGGGAGAAAAAAGAAAGAGAGGCGGCCCAGCCGCCTCTCTCTTGGGGTAGAGAGTGAGAGAGAGGGGGAGAGAATAAGGGTGGCCCAACCGTGCCTCTTTAGGGGAGAGAGAGAGAGAGAGAGAGAGAGAGAGAGGGGCAGCCCAGCCCCAGCCACCTCTCTCAGAGAGGAAGAGGGGAAAGAGAGAAAGAGAGAGAAAAAGAGGGAGAGAGAGAAAGGCGAAAAAAGAGAGGAGAGAGAAAATAACCGGGTACCTAGGGTCGAGCCGACGGCTTGGGCCTGATGGCTAGGTTGGATCCCCATGTCCTTGTGAGCTTCTTGAGTGAGACTAGGGTCTAGGTGTAGAGAAGGCTAGGGCATAAGGCTATGATGTAGGTTGAAGATGAGCCTAGGTGAGCTAGGGTGTATGGTTGATGGGTTAAGGATACGTAAACTAAGGGATAGGATGTGAGGTGTATTGAGGTGTATGGAGTAGGATTGGGAGTATGGATAGGTACGGTGTAAGGTGTGAGGTGTATGGCGTAGGATAGGGAGTATGGATAGATATGGTGTTGGGTGTGAGGTGTATGGAGTAGGATAAGGAGTATAGTCAATGGGTAGGGATTAGTCGTCCAAGGGGTAGTCATCTCAATGTAAAAGTATTCTCTCTCCTCTCTTTTGAAGTGAAAGTGAAGACACAAGAAAATTACCTCAACTTAGCCAACTTTTCAAGCTATTGCACCTTATTTTCAACTTAGGTTTACAAATGGCGAAAAATAAGAGTTATCCCAAACAAGAGTGGATGCTCAAAACTATGCCTAATTGTCAAATAATACATTTAAATGAATTCAAAGTGATTTTCGTTTTTAGACCATAATGACCATTTTGCCCTCCATACTTCTGTGGAAAAGACAAGACCATCCTTAAAAATGGGCCTCTTGCCTTCCCTATGGCGGGCCCATTTTTGGTGCTTTTCGATGACATTCCGAGCGATCCAACGTCGTAGAAACATTGGTATTCTCGAGACGATCAATTTGATATGCATTTTGAGGCTTGAATCAAACTTTTGATGATGAACCCAAAATCCAGCCAAAGCCATAAACTTGAAATTTTAGATCTTCAATCTTGTCCATTTTGTCGTGTTTTTGTCATTTTATTTATCATAAATCAAAGAGGAGGTTGTTGTGATCGTTTTGGAATGAAAACCCCTCGATTTGGAGTCCATTTAGTCACTTTTCTATTTTTGAACGTCACCGAAAATGGGATTTCAGTGATAGAAAAATGTGCCCTCTTTCGAGCTTTAATAAGAGGCCTTCCTGGCCTCCTTTTCGAGCAAATAAGTACTCAAAACAAAACCCTTTGAGTCACGATCGTAACAGACCTGGTCTTGAGGTTGTGGAAGTCCGAAATCTTGAGATATGGTTGTCAGAGCGACAACATACTCTGTTGAATTTTTCTGCAATTTGTGCACTTTTAGAGAACTTCTCTCTAAGATTTCTCGTTATCCGGGAGTCCCCATGGTGCGTGCCATCCGCCAAAACGTAGATCTTGGTGAGAGGAACAAAATACTCGAATTTGGGGTCTATCTGCTTCAAGACAAGAGAGAACCAGGTTTCACAAGTTGCTCCATTTTTGGAAAACACAAATACTATAAATAGTAACTTGTTCAAAGAGGTTCAAGTGAATAGTAAAAATCTTGTCATTTTTTAAAAGTAGGACCTAAAAAGGTCCGTTTGAGCTGAAATTTGGCAAGGTGACTGTTTTCGGCCATCTGAATCCGTTGGTGGTGATCCCATGGTCACTAGAAGTCTCAAGAGTAGAGTTCTAGCTATGGTGCTCCATAGGCATGCTACGAACCTGGACCAAAAACTGATGTTGTACATTTTTCTTCTATTCGCGCCTGAATTGGATGAAACTTGGAGGGCATCCTTGGATCATCATAGGAGACTCATGTGCTTGATTTGGGGCCAGGATGACATCTGTATTATAGCTATTCAAAATAAGGCTTATTTGTGCGAGGCTTCTGCAGTTCATAGGCATGACTGACACCTACAGGCCTGAGTCGCAATGGCCATTTATAGATGTGAGTATGGCATCTATGAATGATATTTATATAATAATAATATTTATCGACTTCTGTGTAATGCAGTATGTTATTTTAGTATATATATATATTATCGGAAATGCAGTGAAGTGTAGAGGAACTTTTTTGTGGTCTTGCAGAAGTGTGATATGCATTTATTCCTCATGTCAAAAAATATATTCTTATAGCAGATTTTTATTTTTTTTATTTAAAAAAATATGCCTTGATAGGGAGTAGTTTCAAAACATGGTAGTCTAAAAAAATAATGTAGTCCATAAGGCGCACATATTGTACACAACATTTTTTCATTTAATGGTCACCTGACTTCATGTAACCTACTTCTACCTTTCTCTTTCCACTAAAATTTCAGTAGCTCCTCCGCTTCCAGGATAAATTCTCTTGCTGGTGTTTTGTTGATGCTTTCCTATTGAGAATGAAGAACAAAAGAGAGAATCTTTTGAGCTGGAGTATTTGATCACATAGATCTTCTATTTCGCCGGAATTGTGATTGTTGATTGTGAGGCCCCAATTCTGGACTGGAAGGGACACCAAAGGGAACCTCCCTCTGCCCTTCCATTGTTGGATAGATAGAGAGGTAGGGCAGAGCTTTTGGTTTTTTCATGTTGTCAAACCCACCTTTGGGAAGGTTTTTTAGAGAAAGAGAGAGCTCAGATGGGTTTTACAAAACCAAAATGAAATGCGTAGAAAGAGAAAGAGGACAACAAAATTAGGCCACCAAAATTAATGAAATTTTAGTGAGAAGAGAAAGATAAAAGTACGTCACGTGAAGTTAGGTGACCATTAAATGAAAAAACGTTTTGTACAATATGTGCATCTTATAGACTACACTATCTTTTTAGACTACCAGGTTTTGAAAGTACTCCCTCGGGTTAGAGACCTGCCAAGGCATTTTTTTTTAAATAAAAAAAATTTAAAATTTGCTATAAGAATATAGTAAGTTTTTCAACATGAGGAATAAATACATATCACACTCCCACAAGACCGCAAAAAGTTCCAACACAATTTACTACGTTTATTATAATATATATAATAAAATAATATACTACATTACACAGAAGTTGATAAATATTATTATATAAATAAAATATAAATATCATTCATAGATGCCATACTACACATCCACCATGATAGCAAAGGTCACTTGACATTAAATGAAAAAATGTTTTGTACAATTTGTGCACCTTAAGGACTGCACTATTTTTTTAAACTATCAGGTTTTGAAAGTAATCCCTCAGGTTAGAAACCTATCAAGGCATATTTTTTTATAAAAAAAATTAAAAATCTGCTATAAGAATATAGTATGACATGAGGAATAAATGCATATCACACTCTCGCAAGACCATAAAAAAGTGCCTCTATACTTTACTACGTTGCCTATAATATATGTAATAAAATAATATATTGCATTACACAGAAGTCGATAAATGCTACTATTATATAAATAAAACATAAATATCATTCGTAGATGCCATACTACACATCCATCTATGATAGCAATAACCTATATGCATCATACGATAATATCATATCATGCAGTAACATATAATATATCATAGATAGGTTATATCTTGATATAGACATATGATATACCTACTATCTAACATGTCATGTCATGCCATAAGAAATACACCATAATATGAACTAATACCATATTATATAACAAACGTTGTGATGTATGACATGCCATATAGTGACATGCAAAGCTGAAATATGGTGATGCGTGGGCACTAAAGGTACTCCCTTGCTTTATTAAATATAACAAAAAGTGCACTTGAAATGTGTCCCATTCATGAGATCAAACAGCCTTGAAATGTAATTCCAGAACCACCAGCAAATGAATCACATAATTTGTAAGGTATGAATTTTATTTCCCAAGTTTATCATCATGCAGAAGACAAGCATATGAAAGAAACATATCAAATCAGTCATTCTGCCTGCTACAATTAACTAATTTGTTAACAATTTAGCAATAATCTGATGGTAATCATCCAGGAAAATCATACCCCTAAAAAATTCGACATCAAACTCGCACCATGTCTATTTATAGAAAACTTACGTTATATCTCCGGCAGTTGACGGATACCCATACTCATCAAATAGGCGCATTAGGTCACCAAACTGTCCATGAAGATCCCCAAAAATTTTAATGGGAGCCCTGAGTTGCAAAACAGTAGGTTCTTGCAAAAATATTTGCTCAGCAGCATAACAAAGTTCTCCCACTTCGTATGAATCCAGAAAAAAGCTTCTGTTAGTCGGAGGCTTCCAATTTCGAGGTCTAAGCAGTAGGGAAATGACCTGCAAAGGATTCTTCATTCGATTCAATATTCATTCCATTCAACAACAATGTAGTTACATGGCTTTCAAATAGTTTCTTGCCTTCCTGTGCAATCCTAGAGGGGACTTCTGCTTGTTATAAACCCGCTTTGCACCATATCCCTGATCCATATTCCAAGGACTCATTCGCCTGCTCTCATTTTCGAACTGATCCAAGGAAAGTTGCCTCACAAGCCCCCCCAAGCCACCAACAGTCTCTTTAGCAACCACTACCTATATGTATCACCACAACAATTATCATTCTCGTTGTAATGGATAGCACGCAACTGTGAACTCAGAATGCAACATATTTATGGGAAGAGAATAAGATCAGCATACATACAGCTCTAGGGTGAAGGCGGACATCTGATTCAAGGGCATCCTCATCACTGGAATCAAGTGAACAATGTGAGACTTGTGACTTATCATCAGTTTGAACCACAGGATTCTGCCCATCTGAAGTCCCTTCTAGATGGACTGCAGCTGCTGCAGCTTTTGCAGCTTCAAAGACTGAACTGACTGCCTCTGCTTCAGCAGTAGAAGCTTCAACCAGTTTCTCTAAAGATTTATCGTCCAAGCTAACAACAAAAAACTCATCACTTCTTTCCAGTTCCCCAAAAAAAAGAAGAAAAAAGAAAAGAAAAACAAGAGCCAAGATCTGCTTGCCCGCATTTGAAGCAGATAATAGAGAATGATCAACAGAACATATCAACCTTGTGCCACTAGATGCCGCAATATCTGATTGGCCTGTGGTGGTTGGCTGGGAAGCCAAAGTTTGGGGCTCCTTATTGAGCTGATCCAGATCCCGATTGCGCAAACCAGAGGGTATTTCAGATGTGTTGATAAGGCTGCTAACTTCAGTCATTACCGGTGAGTTTTCCGCAACAAGAAGATCGTCAAGCAGAACATCTGCCCAAACACAATCTATAATCAGAGGGTACCTTGCTGAAAAAAGAATCACCAAATTCATATTGTTGTCTGATAAACCACTGAAGACGAGGTATTTAACCGTCTAATTAGGAGAATAAGCTGATAAATATTCCTAGTACATGACGTGGAACAAGATGTGGATAAGGTATGGTCAAACTTGTACTATTTAATGGTTAGAGATAGGCTATGATCTTGTCTGCTACAAAGGATCCATGAGCTAAGCTTCTTACGTAGGTCCATAACTCAATTCAGAGGAATTACCTCCTCTAAGTCCACCATAAACATATACTCGCAATCCAACAGAAGCAGATGCATGGCGACAACGATGTAGAAGGTCCAACATTGGGTCCGTTTCAACAGAAGACTTGTTAGATCGAGAAGAACTGACAATTCCATTTCTGTCAACCCAAACTCCAGCAGCAGTGTCCAGCACTATAAAAACGACAAATCGTTGCAAATAACTGACCACATTTATATGATGAAAGTTAAGGGAACATAGAAAAATGTACTGCAAGAATTTACCTGAAACAGTCGCTTCACCTTCAACAGCACGCCCTCCTCTAAGCACACCGCCTGAAACATGTAGTCGGGCACCTACAAATGCCTGTTTCATATGTAAAATGAAAAACAAGCTAACTCTAGATGTACACAAAGTTCCCAAGAAAATTCAAAAGACAAATCCAATATGTAAATAGAGCAACACAACAAAATGAACTACAAGAAATATATAAGTCTCCAAGCATGCAGCCGCCTATACTATCGTTCAACTTACACAGTTTATTAACAGGCAAGACAGAGCAAAGACCATACGTCAAAATGCTTCTCTATCAAACTCAGTACTGGTTTTCCCACTCCTTCAAACTTCAAATTAAGAAGCCATTTTCTTTTTTATTTGGCCATCAAGGAAAAGCTGCTATTACCAAAATAACACATGGTTCAAGAGATGTCCACAACATCTTCAGGAATCCTACAATGGAACCCTTTCAACAGAAGTGACTCTCAAATTGGTTAGTAATGGAGCGAGCCTCCTCATTAGCTCCCATAACAACGTGCGCAAAAGTCGCATCCTTAGAGCCACAAAAGTTGTGTATCCCCCAAAAAATCCCAACCCCCCTCGCCTATCTTATGACATTAAAGCATAAAGGCATCCTAAGATGGAAGACAGAGCAAACCCAAAGATCAATAGGCAATGCACGAGTCTCCGCATGTGTAGAACATTCTGTACATCATATGCAACTTGTTGATACTTACTGCTGCATGTTGATACCTTGGCGAAGGAGGTATCCCAGGAGCAAGAGTCCATTCCCATCGGCCATCCCTGTGCTTCAGGAGACCATATGCATCTGCTAAAGGCTGTCAACTATGTCGCATATAGTTAATAGTGTATAATTATCTACTGGTTCAGTGAACTTTGACAGAAGCAATAGATGGACAATACTGCAGTATGTACTAATCAGATTTATTGCAAATAAAAACAAACCCTTTGCATGAATAAAAGACCAGAAATATTAACATAAACATAATTTCTAAAAAGCAGCTCAGAGTACAGACTTTTCTTCAGTGAAGTAAAACCTAAATTCTAAGCCTTATATAGAATTTATTTCCGCAAAGAATATACTCAACAGCACCCCACAGCCATAAAAAACAACGAACAACAAACAGTTTGAAACAATACAATGATGAGCCAGGCCATGAGAACCACAAAGCATATCACCAAAATATACAAAGAACATATACAATATGAATGCTTCATCCAAAATGCCAAGAACCAATTCGAAAGTAAAGATGATCCCCTACTCAACATCCTAAGCTTCTAATCTTAACTTTCAAGCATAATCCACAATACATGATACCTCCCTAGAAAAAGGCCATCCCAATCAAATAAGAATTCATTCTTCCTCAATATTCACCCTTCTCACACTAACCCAGTTCAAAGCACCTGAGGATGAACCAATGAATGAAATAATGAAGGTGGATTGCTGACTCAAGATCTCTTACATCTCAAAACCCCAATGCCCACTATGCAAGGAATTTAAGGTTCAAAGGACGTGAGCACTATGCCAATGTCATTAAGAAGGTGTTTAGATGTATATACGTTTCAAGAATGTATAGGATCTTTCTATACAGAATCACTCCCACAAAGGCGTGGGAAATTTGGTGGTTTGTAGAAACTTTGGATTTGGGAGGTTGGATGGGTAGGTAGAGGGTCAGGAGATGAAAAGGGAGTCTTGTAGAAACTTTGGGTTTGGTGTCTAGAAACTTTGGGTTTGTTTCCCTCCAAGTATGTCTAAAAGTCAATTCCAAAGAGGAGTGCAGGGGTGCAATCAGAATACATATTAGTCACACATTTTAGTTGGGTAATTTCACTGCTAGTTGAGAGAAAAGGAGGGAGGGTTCTAAGTTTTTGAGTCTTGATGCAAAAAGGAAAATCAATGCTGGTTTACATGAATGGCAGAGGATAGAAGGTAACACTACTTGGGGGAAGTGGTAACAATACTGCTAGAGTTCCAGCATCGTAGTATTACATTTTTTTCTTTGTTTGAATTCTATAAAAGCTGATACTACAGTAATAATATTATAATTACAGGTAATAACAAAAGGTTCTCACAGAGCCCAAAAGCCAGGTGCTCTTGTACAAACAGTGTTTTCAAATAAACAAAAAATGAGAAAAACCAAAAAAACAGGTTGGCCATCCACATATTGGGTGCTCAGCCACTGGTGCAAGAGACAAAGGCCAGCAATGATCCAAAAAATGCTGGGCAGCACCTAGGTAGTCAGGGGGGTCCAGGCCACCCAGCGCCTAGGCGGCGGCCTAGGCGCACGCCCAAATTTATGGGCGGCCTAGGTTGAAAAAGAGAGGCAGAGGATAGGAGCATAAGACATTATGAATTTATTACTATTAGACTATACAATTTAACATTAACCGGACTAAGATAGAGTATATGGAATCCAAGTTTAGTAATAATAGGGGTAAAGTCGAGGAAGTAGTTAAGATTGGCAGCCAAAATTATAAAAAAAAATGCACTTTCAATATCTTGGGTTAATAATCCAGAAACATTGAGAGATTGGGGAAAATGTCGCACATAGAATTAGAACTGGGTGGGCGAGGTGGAAATGTGCAACCGGAATTTTTTGTGATCGCCGCATACCAATGAAGCTGAAGGGCAAGTTCTATAGGATAGCTATGAGACCAGTTTGCTCTATGGGGCAGAATGTTGGATGGTCAAAAAACAATCTACCCATAGAATGAATGCTGCGGAGATGAAGATGTTCAGATGGATGAGTGGCAAGACAAGAAATGATAGAATTCGAAAATGAATACATTCTAGAAAAATTAGGTGTGGCACCAATAGGCGATAAGATGAGAGAGAGTAGACTTATGCAAGTTGGCCATGTGTGGCGCAGAAACATTACAACATTTGTTAGGAGGTACGAGTTAGTTCAAGTGGACAGCTCAAAAAAGACAAGGGGTAGGCCCAAAAGGATATGGTTGGAAGTAGTGAGAAAAGATATGAGGACTTGTGGCCTCATTGAGGGTATGTCCCTTAATAAAGTAGAATGGCGGCCCAATATTCATGTAGCCGACCCCAATTAGTTGAGAAAAGGCTTTAACGATGATGAGATTATACCATTTGACACAAATATGACTATATGATAATAACACATACACACATCATAGAATATTAGAAATCCCATAATCCAAAGTCCCAAATCATTGTAATAGACTACTATGTTCTCCGTGGATCCTAGCTCTTTGCCTTAGTCTCTTTCATTAGGGCATCACATGAAGTTGACCTAGCCAAAGCACAACCGAAAAGAAATCTCAAATATCGAATGTAAGCTAACCTTTTTGCTCGATCATTGATCTTAATGTTTTTTATATCTTTCAAGCTAGAAAGCACCACCATAGTCTTCAAATCTCTTCAATGGCATCTCAAGAAAAATTCCAACAATTAAAAGTAGCTTATAAATGTTTTTGCAATCTCAAATTTTATTTTTTTAGATTCACTGAGATCTCAAAATCAATATACTTGGGTTAGATTCCAATATTTTTTTAACCTTGGGGTTTATAATACCCCAAAGACCACTAAAGAAGAAAACATAAACAGAAAATGATGCAAAGTGCCCCCCTAAGGGCACTTTATTCCCAAAAAAGGGGCATAGGCCCTGAATGTCCGCCTCGGTGGGTGCCCAAGGAGGGCTGCAAAGGCCTGGACGTGCTCCCTTGGGGACAAACCATTTTTCGAAACACTAGCCTCTTCTTCTACCCCGTTCTAGCTCTATGCAGATGATCCAGAGGCCCTAGGAGTGTTGGCTTCTCTACCTGCTGCCTCTTCACCATTTTCTAGCTTTTTGTGTTGTACGAAACTCAAATATTGCTTAATCTCCTCCCTGATATCTTCAAGAACCTTCTTACAAGGGGCAACATCCCCCCTAATATTGGCCAAGTGTTTTTTTGAACCGGTAATAGCCCCATTAATATCCTTTCCACAATAATTACACCTTATGCAAGTTTTGTCATTTGGATTCGGGTTATAATCATACCTCCAACCCAGATCACCACTTTTAAAAGAAGTTAGAGAAGACATTTCAATATAACAACGCTCCTTTTCTTCCATTTTTGGTTACAAATTCATATATTGTCTAATCTCATCTCTAATAGCTTCAAGAACCATTTTGCAAGAAGCAACATTCACTCTAATACCGATAAGGTGTTTCTTGAACCGGTTTAAACCCCCATTGATATATTTTTAAAAACATTACACCTTATACAACTATTTCCATTTGGATTCGGATTATAATCATACTTCCAACTCGAATCACCACTTTTAAAAGAAACAAAAGAAGACTTATCCAATTGACAATGCTCATTTTGTTCCTTTTCTTGTTTTTTTGAACTCAAATATTGCTTAATCTCCTCCTTGATAGCTTCAAGAACCTTTTAATAAAGGGCAACATCCCCCTTAATACCGACAAGTGTTTTTTGAAGCGGTTTATACCCCCATTAGTATCATTGCGCAATAATTACATTTTAGACAGTTTTTGTCATTTGGATTTGGGTTATAACCATACTTCCATTCCAGATCACCACTTCTAAAAGAACCTGAATAAGACATCGAAATAACAAATAAAATCTCCAGTCTGAGGATCCTTAACTAACCTTTTTGCTTAATCTTCAACCTTCAATGTTTGAGATGTTTCACAATCTCAAATGCTTACTAAAACCCTCTAATAAGCTTCAAAAATCTACAAAATCGAATCCAAACCAAAAGGATGATGTTTGGATCGATTTTTCAAAAAAATTTAAATACCCCCTCGATCTTACAGAAATGCAAAAATGTGTTTTGCTAAGTTTCTTTCACTCCAAAAGCTAACAAAAGAGGTTTAGGTCACATAAGAACCTAAACCCCTCCCCCCCCCTATTTAAGGGAGAAAAGGACGAACTGGGCAGGTGGGCTAAGCACTGAGTGCCCGCCTAGGGACTAAGCGCTTAGGCATGGACGATGCGCCTAGGCCCCCTTGGATTTTTGAAACGAAGGAGGCCATTGTTGTTGTAATGAGAGTGAAAGAAAAGAAAAGAGGAGCCATTGAGAGGAGGGAATAAGCAAGATGAAAGGAAATAGATGGAGGAGAGATTTCGATTGGAGGAGAAGTGAAAAAGAGAGGGAGGGCAATGAAAACAGCCCACTTGCATGGAAGTTCTAGAGAGTGCATCAAACAAAAAAAAAAAAATGGAGCCACTCACAAGCTGGATGCTCAGCCCAGTCGGTCAAAACTTAGGTCGAGGCCACCCACATAGCAAATGCTCTACCACTGGGATTCCGGAAGAGAGGGGTGAGGTGATCCTTAGACTCCTAGGAGCTTAGTAAGCCAAGGGATAAACAAAACCAATAAAGTGAGAGGAGGAAAGTGTTGGTTGAGGGGTGTAGGTGGAGGTAGGCCACAAACCATGTACTCGGAGCGAGACATACAAGTGGCTAAATGGCAAAAAGCATTGGTGTGGGATAGTCAAATTCTCTGAACAAATATATATCTGTTGCCATTTTGTAAGGGCAAACCAGCCAAAGCTAAACCCTTTTCAGTAGGCCACATGCCCAGGGGTAAGCGTTTTGGTCATGACAAGGCTATAGACTGCCTAACCCTTGATCAATCAAAACATCACAAACTCCCACTGAAGTGTGTAATACACTATAAATATTAATTATACGCTCTCACAGCCTTTAAAGGCCACAAACCCCAACATCTCCCACTTGGCCCTTGAAGGCCCTACAATCCCTCCCTCTCAGTCTCTCTCAAGTCCATCCCATGTACATGCTTGGAAAATACATTTGCTATCAATCCTTTTGTCAAAG